GAAAGCAGACAACAAGCTTTGTGTTCATGAAAAGCAAATTATCCTAATTTTCTAAAGCAATGCAAGAGAGACACTTATTTGCACTGCATTCGTATTTCTCAGGTCTTTGCACATGATCTTGCATCATTACTATTTGGTGTAAGATGGAGTGTGTTTGAATTCCTAATATTAGAGTGCCTCGCCCCAGAGGCTCCCCCCTTGACGAACCGATGACGCATTTCCTGACATGATGGTCAAAATCACATGAGCAGAACAGAAGAAGGAGGTGGTGGGAGAGAGCGTTTGACATTGGGGGCTAGCTAAATATATACCGGCTGTATGGCTACAGCGCTGAAGGCTGGGATGTGCAGCCTATTGTGTTTCCTGTGTCATACGGGAGGAGGAACTTGCCTCTATTTTTTCAACCAATCAGCACTGATCCAGGTCGGGGGTAACTGTTATCCTGAATGAGCCTATAGAAGTGCATTTTCTAGATAGAAATATTCTCGAGGTTTCAATCCTGTGGTGGTATGTTGAGTTCTGTCTGCGTTCTCCACGTAAAATAAAATTAACTTGACAGATTTCCTTTAATTTTGCTTTCTTTTTAATCAGCCTTATGTGTTTCAGATTATAACACGCATTTTTCATATCAAAGAAAGATATGTAAGTAACAAAATGAATTTCATAGAAAACATATTTTCACCTCAACCTAACAATTGGTTAGGCCTATTGTGTTTCCTGTGTCATACGGGAAACACAATAGTAAACTCTCAGAACAGATGGTGTTAACACAGTCATTCCTCTGTGAGCACCTTGGACAGCTCACATGTGGGCGTGTGTGACCATACAACGCAGCATAAGTTGCGTTAGAAATCTGAAACCAACACAGTAAAACTCTCTTTGCAGTGAGAAGTAGAAAGATTGCATTAGTAACGCCCGAGAGTTTCAGGAGCTGCGAGAAGTAGTAAACTACTCTCATCCGAATTTGACATGTAATCAAGAGAAATGTTTGTTGTCGTCCTGCAGCCTGCTTAGGGTTGCTGGAATGGCACCGTGCAAATCAGAGCTTTATTTATGAGCTACACCAGACCTCAGGAGGTCGAGCATGACGTCGTGAACCCCCCCTACCCCTCGTCCTGTCATTAAAGAGTGATTTTGGCATCAGGTTCCACTTTCCTAAATCCCCTCCTTCCCTTCTCATTCTCCAAATCCCTTGAGGCCAAAGCAGCACCTGCCCCTACCCTCTCTCGAACAATCATTAAAATGGCTCAACATATGTTAACTCATTCTCTCGGTTTGGGACGGACACACCCACATGCCGTATTTTTAAAATAATTTAGAGTCTCAGTTTCATCACATCAAGTTGCAATAGGTTGTCTCTTTTCCCACCCCCCAAACATTTCTGTTGTGTGTTTTAATGTAATTTACTGGTGAGTCGATGGCCACAAACATTTACGGGCCACCTCCACCCAAATGTAATGGGACAGCATGACGGTTAAGGCTGGTTGACTGTGAGAAAACAGTTTAGGGCTGAGTGGTGACACGTTTATTGAGCTTGTCAAATTAACTCATGCAGTGAACTGAGACAGGAAAAGACTCACAATAAAGCACACGCACACACATGTGTGCACACACATAGCCTAAAACAGACATAAGGAACATGTTTTTAATATTACCTGGTTCAGATGTTGTGCATCAATCTGATCTCTGAGTCACCTTACAAAGCTCCTGCAGACGTCAGTGTTGTCAGGCGGCATGCCTGTGGTCTGAACTATATTCCTTAAGCGATGAATGTAAGAATTAGAATGACACATTGTTTCTCCTTATTAAAACGAATTCATCCTCCAACAGATTACTAAGATTGAGCTTTACTTAATGCATCCAGTGGTTAATGACAAATGTGGCAGAAATACAATGTTTGAAGAGATGTATTTTGATGGTAAAACATCTATACTTAATGCAGCTTCACACAAATAGGAAACACAATATCTTATATCTCCCGAGAGCCAGAATGACGTTTTTGTTTCTGGAGCCATTCAACACTTCATTCAAGGTTAGATTTTTCTCCCCCAGCGCAAGACGTTTTCCGTGGTTTTGCATTATTGATATCTGAGTTCTTGAGCCACATTTTACCACAGCCTTCACCTAACAAACTGTTTGTTTGTTGTTTTTTTTTTACAAAGGATCCAAATCAAGAAAATCTCTAGAACAATAATAGTACTTTAAACTCTCCTTTTCACTACGGTGATGAAATGTGTACCTTAAGGTGTCTATCTCTACTTTTAAGTTAGTGTGTTGATGGGAAGAGAACCACTGCAGCTTCATATTATAAGTAGTCAGTTAAAGTGGTATTGGGCATCCAATTTGAAAATCTTCCTTTAGAGGGTTTTTGGACGTTTCCTACTGAAAGGAGACCATGGATTGGACTCAAAGCTCACTAGACCTGGGAATTGCAACCCCAGGTCTCGAATGCCACTGTCCTGCAACTTGTGAATGCATCTCTGCTCCAATGCAACTCAATCAAATAAATGGTTAGTGACCAGACTGTTACAAAACGTGCTGACATGCCAAGAAGGTAATCAGGTGTTTGATTAAGGAGTGTTGGAGCAGAATGCACTAGAGGGACTGTGTATCTTTCTCGTCTGTAAACACCTTTGGATCCCTTCAAAACAAGCTAGAGAGTGACACTGGGAAGAGGAATATTTCCTTTCTGCACTTATTACTCTAGTGACCCAGTATAAATAAATTAATGCCATTAATCAGATGAGACAACTCCAACAGCCCCTGAACATTACCTGATTAATCTGGCTAATTTGAGTCTTTTTCAATATGCATTTCTACTAAAATCATTTAAAACTGCATATTTGTGTGCATGCTCAGTTTAAAGGATTCTTTTGCTGTGATATTTCTGATTGTCCAGAACATGTGTGAGATTTGCAGGCAGAGTTTGCAGCCAGATCACAAATCACAACACGTCCAAATAGCTCAATAAGTGCTCCCCCTTCCTCTCATCTCCATTAAGAACTTGGAGTGGTCAATAGGTCCAGCCGAACACCAGGGACCGACCCTATTGATTTCACAGACGGAGAAGGAGGGCAGCCATTAACTGCGCACTTCCTGTAGCCTCTGGATCTGCTCAGACTGACAGAGATCCTCGCCTAATGATATTTCCACATCATTTTACTCAATAAGAGCGTTGATTATTGTTTCATCGTATTTTAGGTGTTGCCAAGCAGTTGAAATGCAGAAATACAGTAGGAACACACTTTATGAATTTATAAAGTACGTTTGGTTTTAGGGCATTTAGTGCCATGGTGAACTAAAAACACAGAAAACAGCCAGTGTTTCATGTAGGTAATGAGCTTTGACTAATTGTTCTGTGTAATGAAGCTTCTTGCAGCGGTGCTAACTGGGTTTTTCATTGACTCCATTTGGCACTGAAATATTTAGTAGCTAAGGACAGTTCCCTCAGGAAAAGAACAGATTAAAGTGGAAAGTGAATATTGGATTTGCAGTCCAAATAATTCATATTGTAGCTCTGTGATTGCCAAAGTGTAAATAAGTGACTTGTCTAAACATGATCATACATAAAGCAAAAAGCAGCTGCACTTACTGCACTTGTTGACACAGATACTCCAAGCAAACACAGGTTTGTTTACTTTTCTTTTATATCAAAAAAGGAAATAGATTATTTCATTTTGACATCTACAAACCTCTCAATTTACACACCAACAGAAGCATATAATCACGCAGTAACTCTGAGGCACAAAAACAGGAAACTTCTCACTATTTCATGTTGCACATTTGTCGTTTTTGCCTAAAATTGCACATTTAGACTCCAGCTGCAATGTCAGTGAACATAGTGACAGTGAAATGCTGTACAAGGGAAGGGATACACGTGGGGTTTGATGGAGGGAGAGTCCGTCTACCGAATCAAAGACATTAATCAAACTAAATGCATAGGAAAATCGGGGAGGCGAACAGAGAGAGAGAGTGAGAGAGAAAGAGAGAGACAAAGAGTGAAACAGAGAAGAAGAACAGCAGCACATCAACACATTCAGTGTGGACAACACCAAAGCAAAAAGAAAAAAGAAAAAAATCAGAAAACAAGAAGAAGAGCGCCCACCTCTCAGGTGGAGCTCTTTTTTATCATTCTCATCTGGTGAGCAGCCCGTTCACAAACGCATTGACGCTTTCTCATCAAAGCTGTTTGTGTTGGACTCTATTACTATATATTTACACACATAGATTTTCTTTACAAGTGTTTGTTTTCTACATTTAAAAACACGACTTCTAAACAAATGCATAAAAAATATGCAAAATCATAACGGTCTGTGACATCTGATCAGAGCTGTTACTATGAATTTATTGCTTTGTACACTGAGGGGTGTTTGGTATCACCTGCACACTACTGGCTAACTGTGGTGGAGCCTCGTTGTTGAGGGCCTGTTCTACCTTGAAACATTAGACTTTCGGCTGAAATAAAGCTTCATTTTGTTGTGTTCTTTTGTTTGTTTGTTTGTTTTTTATGTGCCTTTGGTTAATTGTGCAAAGAAATCGAAGCATCAGTAACAGTTGCTGAGACAAAGACGAGTTTAAAAGAAACAGAGACGAATGGACATACAAATATGTACAAATTTCACTTTGTTCCATGCATAAATACACATCCACACACATCTACATTGTGCTGACAACAGGTCTTCACAAACAAGTGACAAAAACAAATCAAGTTGGCCCCATTCAGACGTTGTCAGTGAAAGTGTGGAAGGAAAATCAAAGATGATTGTAATGCATGTTGTTTGTTCTTTCCAGGGAGAAACACTTGGCGCCCAGACAGAGACAAAGAAAAAAGCTCTTCAGACGTTCTCTCAGTTTAGTCATCTGTAGGTTGAGCAGAGTGGAGGAAAATTAAAGTAATCTAAACTCCAGTATTTAAAAAAAAAGGCAGAGGGTGTTCAAGACTTGTGAAATGTAATCAGAGGTTTATGTATGGAAACACACATGCATATATAATTTTGGTCTGATGTATAATTTCTAGTTTGAGTTCACTTTATTCTTTGTAATGTCATAATATGACTTCTCCACCTTTGTGTTTGGTTTGACAACTTAAGAAGTTTTTGAGCTTGGAAGAAACAACTTAGCCATAACTTCCTAACCTACAGAAAAATATTTTCCACATCTTAGGACACAGGTGGATGTTTTCATACCGACTCCTGCCACCTGCAGGGCTCCATAGAAAACTTCTCCCCAGGTTTCCAAACATAAAGGCAATAGTTTTACAACTGTCAGTGAAGCATAACATGTCCATTCTTACTTCCATTCAATAGTGGGGAAAAAAACAAAAAAACAATCAGAAGTTTAAAAAAGAATAAAATTTTACATAGCAGTGATTGCCACTTTAACTGTATATTCATTCTATAAATAAAAATATTTTATTCTGGTAAAATGTCGTCAGCGTATATGTAAACAAATACCAAATACTTGTGTAGGAATGTTCATAACTTCTGTATTAATCTTAACATATTAACTCATCCAACTTTTGTTTACCTTCAACAAGATGTAAAAAAAAGAGGAAAAATGATGGGAAAAAATATTAATATTTAGATTTGTGCCAACTGGTCTCAAACTGTATGATGAATAACATGCAAAATTACATTGCATGACATTTAAACTGTTTTTTACTCTTATTTAAATACATATATTGTAAAGAAAGGATGCTCTGCCAATAGCTTAAAGAAACAATTTACCTTAATTAACTGAAATATAAAAACTGTATAAAACAAAACACAAGAAATTACCCTGAATGTCATGAATGTTTAATATTATGGTTCTATTCAGTTTTAATCTCCAGTGTCCTCCTGTATTTCAGTAGGCACCCTAACAATATGCATTCAAAGTTACCTACCTCCTCAGCATCTGTATGCATATTTATTTTGCTCTGTTGGGAAGATTATTTTTTATTTTCAATAAACATTTTGAGGTTTTTGGCCCTGTAATATCACTATTTCCATACTGAGTTTGGTCATTTCTTTTACTTTTTCATTGCACGAACCCATTTTAAGGCCGAGTTTGACCATTGACATCTTGGTCCCACGTGGTGCATATTTAATCCTCAAACTCATATATATTTACTCTTTAATATTTCTATCTAATAGGTTTGACTTGAAATAACTCTTTTAAGAATGCATTAGTTCATCTCGATGTGGTTTGGCAGAATAATTACTGGAATAAAGCACATTATGACGTAATGGTTTGCAGAAATCAAACCGTAAACTGCAGATGTGCTCAGTTATCAAACTGACAACAAGTAAAAACATTTCAGTAACCTCATGTTTAACCGAAACGTTCATCAACATCAATTTGTTACTTGCTGAATCTCTAATCTACAGGTCATTCGCATCCAAAAGCCAGTGACAGGAAAATAAATCATATTGGTGCACTGCAAGGACACGCTTTTCAGAAGAGATACAATACAATCTATAACAACAGAGAATTTAGTTTCTGTTTACAGTGCTATGTATTAACATATTTCTACACTGAGGTGGCTGGCTTCTTGGATGCTGTTCACTACATGTTTAGCTGACCAGTGTGCTTTTCATGTAATCCTACAGGCTTCGGTGTGGTCAGAAAGCCTCAGCTGATGGGATGAACATGGACAAGTTTACACACAATTGCACTCCAAATAAATATCTATTATTAATATGCATAATAGTACATTTACATACTGCCAAATTGATATGTGCTACACCTCTAGTCATCAAATGTTGTATTATTCTTCTTATATATATTTATATATATTAGTAATTTTTACACTGAATTGATAATTTTTTAGGGTTTTTCTGTGCAAACAATAAGACAATAGATTGTAGCTTTTCTTGTTTCTCATTTGTTGATATTCTTAGGACTAAAACAGACGTACACTCTGGAAACTCCGGGAAACAAAGTCAACTCATGTGTCGCAAACTTCGTGTTTGGCCTAAGAATACCCTTCTTCCTTCCTGTATCCGTAGCCTCCTTCCTGTGCTTCCTCTTGAACGTACTCCTCCGTCTTCTCCCAGCCGGTTGCCCAGCCTCCATTCACCTGTGTGGTCGCACCGTAAGTTTTGGCTGCACCCCCAAAAGCTCCGTAACTCTGGGTGATGTCACCAGTCTCCTCCGCCAACTCATCCTCATCGATGAAGCCACATTTTTCCTCACTTGTGAGTTCCGGGTCGGCCCACGGCTGTTTCTCTCCAGAGGCAAAGATCCCATAGAAGACCACTCCTCCGTAGTGCACCAGGGAGGCTATCAGGAATACGTACTGCCACTCTTCTCGAGTCTGACGCAAAGAAAGAAAAATATCACATTTATTATCCAGAAAATACTGAGGTAGCAACCAGAATAAGACAGAGAGTTTACTCTCTTCTTCAGTAAAATGAATAAGACAGACAGTTCTTTACTATTTCTGGCAACGAATTTATTCTGTTCCTATTTAAACAACATTTCCTCTTGTGACCATGTGCTGGCAAAGAGAAGTTGTTACAAAAAAAAAAAAAAACATTAATCATTTATTCAAGTGACACAGTTTTCAATAATAATAATAATAATAATAATAATAATAATAATAATAATAATAATAATAATAATAATAATAATAATAATAATAATAATAATTCTTTATTGATCCCCCGAAGGGTGGAAATTTGTACGTCTCAGCTTAACCATCAACAATAATTAAAAATGATTAAATAAATATTCATAAGTATCATGACAAGGCTATAAAATCTCTTATAACCTTGTCAATGACCAATGCAAATATCCTGAGAGTTTCAGCACTCAAACTGTTTTCATTAAAAAAAGGTCAATGGATTTTTGAAGACTCATCTTTGGTGATAATATTTCAGAAGTTGAAATGCCTCCTTACCATAACCCCAATTTTTTGCTCTCCCCATAGATTCGCCATCAGATTCAAATCAAGGCTCTGGGCCTCACCAAATGTTAATGTTACTTCTAGTAAAAAATGTAAAAGAAAAATTGTTTGTAAAATTAAAAGATTACTTATTTAAGGCTAAAGCAGCCAGAAGTACGAATAGTTTTGGCTTTTTCTTATGGAAGACTTGACTTCATATTACTTTTTCATCAGATGGTTTTCCTGTTCAATTACTCTTCACACATTCTGTTTTGTATTTATTTTATGGCATTTGTAACAGACCACATGCCAGCATGGTATTATCTGTAAACTAGATTTCTATGTAAATTAGTACAAATCATTAACATCAACATTTTTAACTGCATCTGCTTTAAGATGACAAAACTCCACTTTGGAACTGGTTTCAGTAGATCAAGCTGATAGCTTGTTAGCTGACTTGCAGTTCTTTAGCTGGATTAAGCTCAATCTGCAGGTGAAGTTTTATTTCATGCAATGTCTAAAACTTCACCTGCATTGTTTTTTTTATGTTTAAACATTTAATAATAATAAGAATAGGAATGTAATTATTTCATTCAAGAATGTCAAGAATCCTTCAGGATATTTTTTTTAATCTGGGATGTTTGTTATGTTCACCGGCAGAGAATAGGGATTTACCTTGTTCTTTGTCATAGCACCAACAATTAGAGGGCACACCATCCCAGACAAGGTACCAACACCATTAGAGATGCCCATTAGGATACTGGCATAACGAGGAGCGATGTCCAGATGGTTCACATTAAAGCCTGGTGGTATTAAATGTAACATGAAATTAAAACACCGCAGACCCATTTAACTTTTTTTTTTTTTTTTTTAGGAAACAAGTTCAGTTAGTCATATTTAGCTACTGTATTTAGGGAGCTAGTGTGACAGGATGCACTGAGTAAAGCTGAAGATAAAAGCAGCACAAATGCAGACCATCTTGTTGCAGAAATAGGCAACGACTCTCAACACGTCCTCCTCCCTCCCCCCTCTCTGACTGGCTGAATGAGTAAGTGTCCTCTGAGCTGCTGCACGCCGCCTGCCTGGCGTATCCCCCGAGACAGCTTGCACTGAATTATTAAAGACTCTGGCAGAAAGCTTGAGAGCAAGAGGAAAGAAACTGATTTTGCACACAGACCTCTGGATCCTTTGCTTCCTTTGCACTGAACAAAAACATGAGCTTTGAGATCTGTTGAATGACTGGAAGGTCAAAGGAATACAGTCTAATGTACACAGACAAAAATTTCAATTTATTCATCAAAAAAATGATACCTTTAAGTGACATCTAGAATATAAGTAGGCACTACAAATACGGTAAAGCGATTTGATCAAAACTGAGCATTGTGTCATAATTTGTCTGTCTCTTGTAACACTTTTATGAACATATCACAAACCTGATATGGCAAATCCACTGAAGCCCACTGCCAGCACAAGGAAGGAAATTGCCACCCCTTTGCTATGGGAATACCCCACCACCAGCAGCAATGTGGCCTCCATGCCAAATCCTAGCAGGAAGAGAGACAGCGGGTCACACGTGCGCAAAGTACACAAAAAGCCCGGGGGCCACTCGCTGGTCATCGGGGTGCCAATTGAATTAAGCATGATACATGCTCTGCACTCAATTACATAGCTGACAGATATGAAATCAATGCACAGTGACCCACACTCAGAACGAGTCAACCTGAGAGCTTCAGGTATTGTACAGACAGATTTTACAAAAATACAAACAAACTCATCTCTAAAATCCATCTGACCAGGCAGGAAAAAAAAAAAAAAAAACATCTGTGAAAGTAACACCCTGTGGCTGAGCAAGAGAAGTGTGAAAATGATTTTTTTTTTCTTTTTCATACATCTGCGGTTCAGCTTTCTCACCTCCACAGTTCATTATTTTCCTGACAGTGGTTGTTGTCAAGATGTTCCTGCTGCGCAGGTAGTCGGCCAGCTGACCCCCAATGGGCACGATGATGGTCATCACCAAGTGAGGGAGGGCAGAGAGTATGCCCACCTGTAAATAAAAAAAACGTTTAATCATCTACTGTCCCTATGAAAACAGAACAAAACCAACTTTAAGATGCAGATTAAATCTGCACTCAAGCGTTTAAATTAGAAAAATTTGAATGCAAATGACCATTCCTCTTTTATTGTTGCCTTTGCAAACAGATATTTCTTTATTTAGTTTGTTTTTTTGTAATTATGACTGACATTGAGGTTTAAAAAGAACATTTTCTTGGCATCTGCTTGTGGGAGTGTTAACACAGCGAGTTTCCAAAATGATTTAATCACCTGTAGTTCCAAGTCTTCTTAGACATCAGATGCGTTTTCCAAACGTTTTCTGTCACACTTTAATAATATGGCTACAGCATCTGAATGTTTATGTTTTAAGGTTTTGAGGAAAAACAAAGAACTCACACAGAACCCAGAAGGTTATTTTGTTAATCATTTATAGAAGAATGATTTATCTTTTTAAAATGTGTCTTTCCATATGCCTTCTGCTTGAGTTTGGAGACATTTTTTCAGGCCTTTCAAATAAATGTTAAGATAAAACATAACCAAAGACAGAAAGAAAATAACATCAATACTGAACTGTAGAAGGGGAATTGTAAAAAAAATGTCTTGTATAATATGACTAAATCCATATTTATAGGTAAAATTCTGGCAACCACAGCTGCCGACATTTTACCATAAATTAGAGAGGTATGCTTTTTGTTTTGTTTTGTTTTGGGAGTTTTTACAGTGTAGCCTGTGTCCAAAGATAAAAACCTAGAACAACGCTCCAAAGGCATCTGGAAAGTTTTTTCTCCAAGTATGCAAATTCAGAAAATTTCTCATTAAACGTCATCAATATCAAAGTCATTTGATTGTTTACGGAAAAACGAAATGCTGAGTGGGCTGTCAGGGATATTGTAAACAAATAAATAAATTGCAATATTGCCCCTTTGTACACCAAGTTAAACTGGTTGCATTTCCCCTTATTAATAATGCAATTACACATAGAGCATGTCCACCACCTACATTAGCTGAAGCATGATTTACTTGGTCATTTAATTATGCTTTATGTTTATGCAACATGGCCCACCTTGCTTATCTCAAAGCCGAACACTTCCTCAAAGTATGCAGGCTGACTGATGAGCAGCAGGTAGAAGGTCCAGCTCCTGCAGAAGTTTGCCACAATGATTGCATAGACAGGCATAGAGGTGAAGAACTTCCTCCAAGGGGTCTTGAATTTCTAGAAATCATTAAAAATTGATTGATTTATAAATAGAAACAGACAGCTGAGAAACAAATAAAAACCAGACAGTCATTTTTATGTGCAGTTTTGATTTCTACCTCTGACGGACCCATCAGCTTGGCACTCTCTCCAATGCTCTCCTCTATGTAGACGCGCTCTTCATCAGTGATGGAAGGGTGATCAGCAGGGCTCTCGTAAGACACAAGGATCCAGAACATGTACCAGAAAATACCGAAGCAGCCTGATAGAGGAACATATTTAAAATCTTTGGTTAATCACAGATTAAGTACTGCAGATAATCTTGACCTCAAATGTGAGCATATTTGAAGGATGTGTCAACCGAAATGCCAGAGAGGAAGAAACAAAGAAAAAAAAACCCAGACAGGAGAGCTAACTGTATCCAGTCTGGAGGGAAAGACAGGGGGCTGTTTATTGACAAACCAAAACAACGGGGAGGGAAATCAATACTCAGTCTGCCTGGATAAATCCGTTTGACTTTCACTGGACTCTTTAGCTGTCAGAGTCTAGAGCTTAGAAACACCTCCGCCTGAATATGAGCAGAACGCGTCCATTCATCCATTTACTTGCCGTATACATAAAACACTGAGGACCATCCTGTGTACTGGACCAGGATCCCAGCCAGAGGCATCGCTACCACAGCACCAGCATAAGAGCCTAACAAACAACAACACAAGAACATCGACGCATTTACGATTAGGCATGGTGAACATTATAACAGATTCAGATGTACAGTTCAGCAGTGTGTTTATATAGGAAAATGTCTGTTTACCACAGAATGAGAGGGTAGCCAGGCGGCTCCTTTCTAGTGGTGGAGCCCACTTGCTCCAGATGCCGTGACAGGCTGGGTAAGTCACTCCCTGAACACACCACAATGAGGGTCACTATTAACTTAGTCCATTCATACAAAGGCACCAGCTTTATTTTAAATCACAAGCTAGTTATATTCACTTGTTTGCATACAGTTGTGTATTGTAAATATACATTACAGTACATGATATTTGCAGTATGTTGCGTTTAGTTGACTCTGAGGTACCCTTGCAGTCTATCCTGGAAAGCCCTGCCCACACATGAAGCTGAACAAGCACAATAACTAACAGAAATTAACATTTTCACCCCTGCTATAACCATGAACACACTGAGCACCTGATGAGCAATTTATGGAGCAAAGCAGGTCTCTGGATGTCAAATGTTTATCAACTGCTAAATAGAAGAAATTGTGGAAATTACAGTCTGCATGTTCTGTCTTGTAGCAGAACAATGTAGAAAGCAGTCAGTCTTTAAAGGACTAAATAATGAATTAAAATGTATTTCCCGTTCTCATTTTATGTTTAAAAAAAATCAAAACTGTAAAACAAGGAGGGCTTTTCTACGTTTGGAAATGCACACAACAGGCAAAGTTTACTGGCTTATTTTTTCAAAATAAAGTCAAAGGAGTGATGTGACTTAAATCAAAATTTTCCCTCTAATATATCTCTAAGGTGCAGGTGGAGGTGGGGGGGGGCATGCTGCTGATGCTGCGTATCCAGGATACAATGCATGACGTACGAAGAATGAGAGCTCGAATGTCCTACAAAAACAAACTGTAGTGGATCAGATCAATAATGCTCATCTCAAATTCCCTCTGGCTACATATCCAGAAAGCATGCTACAGTCAGCCCCTGCACTGTTTTGCTGGTGGATTGAATTGAAACATAGCAAAGCTACGTTTTAAATATGTTTTACGTTATTTCCAGTCAAAACGAGGAGGTGGAAGAAATTTAGACGATCTTACCTCCACGAGTCCTTGTAATATTCTGACAAAAATAACACACCCATAGTGGACTCGAGCAGCAGAGGGGATGAACATGTTGAGAGTGGAGGTGAGGACAATAGCTGCACCAAACACCCTGTAAATAATAAGAGGAAAAACATTACAAAATAATGGCATTTTAGCACTTTGATTATTACAGTAATGCTTCTTGATGGGTTTTTAGCTTGCATTATTTAACTGAGAAAGGATTTGATCAAATAAATCGGCCATGAGGTCTTTATATTACTTTTTTTTTTCTTTACAAAACAGTAAAGCGTCTGTAATTTAACGTTTTTTCCTTACGTTAAAAAATATTTTTGCAGATCATGTATTTGGTGACGATAAGCTGCACGCATCCTCTTTAAGCGTCGTCATAGAAATAAATAATAAAAGCTGCGGTGCTCTCTTACCGGTCTCACAGTCGCTTGGTAACCACAGTTTAAAAAAAAAACAGAGTAATGTCGTTTGATAGCAATAGGGTGGGGTGGGGGGATTGATTTCCAGGATACTGTGCGAAATCTTGCAAAAGAAACGGACAAAATGGCCGTTTCTTTAGCCTCTTTTTTTTTTTTTTTTTTTTTTTTTTGACTTAAAAAAAAAAAAAAAAAATTTAAAAAAACCAA